CCTTCCCTCTAGTTTTACACTGCTAAATTAGGAACGGCTAGCGCAGATGGCCCTCGTGTAGCTTTGCGCGAAATTAAAAACAACAACAAGCAAACACATTTAAAGAACATATTCTTCTTAGCGTTTTGTAAAGTGACCGATGATGAAGTTTGAAAGAGCATACACAATATGTCTGAACAACAACAAAAAAGAGCAATGTGTACGTTTGTAACAACATATATATTAAATAAAAGAAATATTCTGTACAATAAACTAAAAGTTAAACATGACTAAAATTCAGGTTTGAAATAAGATTAGTTATTTGAGTTAGCATCAACAAACAAACAAGTTCACATATTAGCTGAATTTTATTTCAGTTAGCATCAACAAACAAACAAGTTCACATATTAGGTGAATTTTATTTGGCATATTATGTATTGATAAGTCACATTATAATATGGTAAGTGTTCAGGCTTAGGATATATTACAGAATGATATATTAGGTTTATAGCTCTGAAGAGAGGCAAATGTTTGCTATATGGATCAACATATCCATGAAAATGTAATTTTGTGTTGAACTTACACAATGAGTGTTTCAAAACACAGCACTCCGAGAATAAATATAATTCGAATAATAATTTTCAACCTTAAAGATCCGTCTTTTTTTTTAAACTACTGGACATTATACGGCTTTTTGAATCGAATAACACGATTACCTGTCTCTTTAAATATATGCTTACGACTAAAAGTGCGATTAAAAACCGCGGAATGGGCTCGTCCTTTCATGCGGTCGCTTGTTACTTTGTTTTGAAAAGCAAAATATAAACACACAATAACAAGTTACTGAACTAATTATTGTAAGTTAATGTTCATGTGACCGGAAACGAAGCATGGGAAAGATTGGGCTTGTTTGGGGCTTATTTTCAAAGTCTGAACTTTAGCAACTCTGAATGCGAAGCGTGTTCTCACATCCCGAACCCCCTTTTCGATAAATAGCTCGACATATTAACGACAAGGTCATAAATTAATGAGATAAGTGTTAAGCCCTAGACCAATCTTTTTTAAAGTCCGTATCAATCATTAATACGTAGAGATCCTTTAAGCACATAAAAACCTATATTTTGTCTATTTTTTTTCATATAATCCTATTGCAATTGAAAACACTTAAGCTTAGGCTAGCTATAATATGGGACTAGGCATACTATGAGTATGAGTACGACAAATTATGTAACAGACTATTCTAAGCTTACAAATGAAAGACAGAATACGCCTAGGCCTATTTCCTTACTCTAAGCTTAAGAAAAGAATAAATCTACTCGGCCTATTTGCCACAAAAACCTGTACTTATTAGCCAATATTCCAGGCTTTCGAAGATGGACCTTAAACTTAACAGAAACAGCACATTTGCTCCCGATAAATGGTCCACCATTATTGAAAATCTGAGCTAGATCACAAAAACAGCAGTAAGCACTATTTGCCTGACGTTAAACTATTTCTGTGATGAATGATCACTTGCCTTCTGATAATATATGCAGTGATAAGTCACAACAAGGTACCACTACCAGCTTAAAAGGGCCACAGATAACCTCAAACTTCACCTATTAAACAGTTGTTATTGCAAGTATTTTTTCCTTTCACAATCTTTTGTCTTATGTTATTGGCAATTAGGTTTCATCTGAAATTAATATTTCTAGGTTTTTAAGTGCAACTTACGCTAAGACACAATGATACTTAACATTAGGCCCAGTCATTTCCTTAAGCCTTAACTATTATTTAGCAAAAAATTCAGATACGGTACCTACCATTTTCTCTTTTCCTTATTAAAGAAGATTATGTTTTATACTTGGGCGTTAATGAAATATGTATTACTATTAGTTAGACCCTTTAGAGTTATTACAATATTTTGTACATGCACTTTTACTCAATAACTCCACCTTGATATTATGCCTAATTATTTCTATTGGAAATTCTTTTCACGTTTGACTGCTCGTGTTCAAAGCGACCAAAAATGATTGTTTCTTTTCTGTACTGCAGTAAGTTTTTCTTTAATTAGAAGGTCAATCAATAATAACGATTGTTACTGTTACGTCTCTGTTCGTTTGTTAATTTTTCGTAAAAATTCTTTCCAAAGAAACTTTAGCGATACAAGTCCTTTCTTAATTAAAACTAGTTTATTCTTTCTCAATACAATTTTGCAATATACTTAATTTCCACCGTTAGTTTAACTTAAACTAACGCTATAATTCACAATGAACGATTCACGCAGTACCGCGCTTGACTTAATTGTCCGTTTCTATCTCTGTCTGCAATTCCATCCCGATTAATTGTCTGGCGCACTTATATACAAGAATAGAAAGCGCCTAGCAAATACTGGATTATTCCAGATGTTTCCCGATCTTTCTAGAACTCATTACGTTTTATCAGCGTCACGTGACTTCCGCTGTCGTAACACTGCCCCTTCTATAGTATTGTTCGTCCCGAACAATAGCCA